CAGAAATCCTGTGTGGAAAACTGTCCTGACCTCGGTCACCTCCCTCTGCAGCGCTAGAGGGTAGTGACTAGTCCAGAGATGTGGGTAGTGAATTACCTGTGCTTGTGCTTCCCCTGCCAGGTACCTTGAAATGCTCCTGGAGTACCTGCAGGATTACACAGATCGAGTGAAACCGTTACTGGACCAGAATGAACTTTTTGGGAAAATTCAGACAGAGTTTGAGAAAAAGTGGGAGAACGGCACGTTCCCGGGCTGGCCGGTGAGCAGCCTGAGCCTGGGAGATGTTCTGTGGTTTTGAGGGGTTCCTGTGAGTCATTTGTGTAAAGTCATTGGTGGGGGTGACCCTGACCCGATTGCAGCTCTGTGTCACCAGGCTGCAGGGTGGTGCTGACCTAAATTTGAAACCCAGCACAACTGGTTTGAAATGAACCTTTCAGGTCGGCGTGTGTTGCATCTTTACTACTGTTCCATTTTCAGTTTAGTGAGGGGATTTTTCTCTGTGAAATGAACTGTTTTTCTTGAGGTTAAAATGTTCTATGGTCTGAAGCCTTGTGGGATGTCATGCAGCTCTTGCATGTGGTTTTCTTGGTAGAAAGAGACCAGCAGTGCCCTCACCCACGCCGGCGCCCACCTGGACCTCTCAGCCTTCTCCTCCTGGGAGGTGCGTTTCCAGTGTTCTGCACTTACTACCACATTTGGAGCAGGTGGAAGCTCAGTCATTTGGTTTCTTTGCATAATTTTAGTGCTTTCCTCCCTGGCTCTGTGCTTTCTGGGTAAAACTTCGATGATAGTGATGATTTAACTTCTCCAGTTGGGGGATGTAGCTTGAAAGACCTGGTTAGATTTGTCACATTCCTCATTTTCCAGTGAGGAGGGGTGCACCCTTGACAGTCCTTTCTTGAATACTTTTCATCAGGCTTTTTTCTTCTTTAATGAGCTAAAATGGGCTGCATCCATATTTTATGTGTTGAACAGATCATCTCTTACAGTGGTTTATTTAATTGAACAGGAATTGGCCTCCTTGGGACTGGACAGGTTAAAATCAGCTTTGCTGGCCCTGGGACTCAAGTGTGGTGGGTAAGGTGCAGTCTTTGTAGAGTTCCTTTAAGTTTTTGAGGTCTTCCTGTCTCACATTCCTTTCTGGGATACTTGTTTGGTCATCTCTGGTGTACTAGAATTACCTTAGTGATGTTTGAAAGGTAAAACATTAAGAACCAAGCAGTGGGTTCTGGGATCTGCTGCTCTGACCAGGTCCTATACTGAGTCTCTGATACAGAAGCCTTTGGCTTGAGGAAGGAAGGCAAAGATAATAGGAATCTTGTGATCTCATAAAAGCTATGTTTAGAATTTTGTTGCATGAATTCAAATAGTTCTCAGGAAATGTAAAACTGTGGTCTGGACTGATCCCCTCTCTGCTTCTCTCTAGAACTCTGGAGGAGCGTGCTCAGAGGCTTTTTAGCACTAAAGGCAAATCCTTGGAAGCACTTGATCCTTCCTTGTTTGCTAAGAATCCAAAGACAAAAGGAAGCAAAAGGTGAGTTCTTAGAGATCATTCTGAGGCTAGTGGTGTCCTCTCTTCTTGGATGAGTGGTGTTCTATAGTGGCCACTCTTGTGTAGTTGTTACAGAGAGATTAGAAGTTTTTCATGTCGGACCAAATAGTGCTGAACCAAATGGAAGATATCAGAGCTGAACTTGTGAATTGCATAAAGTTACTCTATCTATTTCTAGAGACACTGAAAGAAATAAAGATCTGGCGTTCCTGGAAGCTCAGATTTATGAGTATGTAGAAGTTCTTGGGGTAAGGATTTTATTTTTTCTTTGAACTTTTTATTTCAGAGCTGTCAAATAGTGACTGGAAGGTCATCCACATCTTTACCCAGTGCTTTCATAGACAGCACCACATCAGTGTGGTGCATCACATCTATTTTGTGCCTAAGTCACACGGTATTGCAAACCTTTACTTGTTCTGCCTTGCTGCCTGCCTTTGGTGTGGGGGGATTGTTTTCAGCAGAGTGGCTGCTGCTGCTACCTGTCACCTTGGAAGTGCTAACAGTGGTACAAGGTTTTTGGTTTTGGCAAGAAGGAAATGTCAGGGTACTAAAAACAGAAGTTGTTGGGCTGAGTAAGGTGGGAGTTCTGTGCTTCATACTGGTCTTCCATTCCCTCCCTCTGTACGTTGAGAAAGTTTCTCACTGCAGGAGTTTTCCCCGACTTTGTTGCTGTCACAGTGTGTGGACAATGCCTTCTCTTCTCTAGGAACAGAGACACCTCACCCATGAGAACGTGCAGCGTAAGCAGGCACGGACCGGGGAGGAGAGGGAGGAGGAGGAGGAAGAGCAGATCAGTGAGAGTGAGAGTGAAGATGAAGAAAATGAAATCATTTATAACCCTAAAAATCTGCCTCTTGGCTGGGATGGCAAGGTAACCGAGACCGTCAGGCCTGGAGAAGTGGGAGGGGTCACAGACCCCTGTTTGAGCTGCTTTGCCACGTGACCTAATCCTTGTGTATCCTCATCCTCTTGTCTCCTCGCTTGCAGCCCATCCCGTACTGGTTGTATAAACTCCATGGTTTAAACATCAACTACAACTGTGAGATCTGTGGTAACTACACCTACCGAGGGCCCAAGGCGTTCCAGCGGCACTTTGCAGTAAGTGATGTTCACTGCAGGAACAGCCCTGCTGGGTTCATACAGGCCTTGTAATGAGTCACTTGGGAGTCCCTGGGGTCCCCAGCTAGCAATTCTGCCCCTTCTGACAGGGGGTCAGGGCCGTGCAGTGGGATCCACAGGTTGTGTAGGGCACACTGAGATCTCTCTGCTGATGCTGAACAGCCCCTGCTCATTTGAACACCGTTTCGAGTGCCCAGGTCTGATGGGTGCAGGGTGCCTGTTGATGGCTGCTGTCGTGTCACTGTCTACAGTACAGGAAAAAAATACTTCTATAGAAGCTTTTAGGACTGGTAGATTTGTACTTTGGTAGGATTTGTTGCACCCTGTTCAGGTGTTAATGTCTTTGTAGTCTTTGGTGTTGTGGAGGACGTGTCATTCCCTCTCGTGCTGACCTCTCATCTCTTCCCCCCCACCAGGAGTGGCGACATGCCCATGGGATGCGGTGCCTGGGCATTCCCAACACGGCACACTTTGCCAACGTCACACAGATTGAGGATGCAGTCTCATGTAAGTAGTGATGGCAGAACAGGGAACATGTGAGAGAACACCACCTTTTCTGAAGAGGTGGGTTTGGACATTGGTCTCGTGTCCCATCCTGAACTATCACTTTAAAGCCTTGTTTGCTGCAGTTCTGTGCCTTTCTGTAACCACACGGGAGTTATAACTTTGTAATGGATGTTAGGTGCATTCCTGGACTGCTGAAGTGTTTTAGAAGAAGGGGGGGAAAAAAAGCTCATGTGTATTTTACTGGATTAAAAACAAGTACCTTGTGGGAAATGGCATCAGATCCTGTTTGACTTTGTGTTTGCAGTGTGGGCAAAGCTGAAACAGCAGAAGGCTTCAGAGAGGTGGCAGCCTGATACAGAGGTGAGCAGTGAGAGCTGTTCAGTGCCTCCAGTCCGTGTCCGTGGGACCCTCCCATTCCCGTGTGGGAGCACTGTCCTTGCTTACACTGATACACTTCCTAAGCTTCTGTCCCAAGCCATTTTTCAACAGTGTGCAGGACAACAGTGGGAAATAGAGCCTGTAATGACTCCAGCTCTGGATGAGCTCTTTCTGCCAGGACCTGCTGGCAGATCTGTTGCCTGTCTTTCTGCACGGAGGTTCTGGCAGGGTGCTCATGTGTAGTGGTTTCTGCTGGAGCTACAGTTCAAAGGCTGTACCCAGTGTCTCTAAACTGTTGGTTCCGTTCCAGGAGGAATATGAAGATTCCAGCGGGAACGTCGTGAATAAAAAGACCTATGAAGACCTGAAGCGCCAAGGGCTGCTGTAGCTGTGCCCAGGTGAAGGATCCCACACCTGCGCAGTGAGTGGATGTGGCAGCAGCTCTGACTTCCTCAGTTTCTGGATTTTGTATGTGCATGAATATAGATTAAAATGATACTTTATAGAGTCACTTTCTAGTAAGCCCCTTGTGAAAAGCAGACTTGTGACATTGTTTTATATTCAAAAATACCTTGAAAAATAAACTCATTTTAATTTAGGAAGTGCCGAGAGACTTGTCTCCTTTTGTATGGTGGAAGGAAGAGGTTTTATTACGTGTTTAAAATGCTTTTTACACAGTTAGAGCTGTCAGAAACAATTCTTTCTTTCACTCCCACTCTGATGGAAATGTTTATGGTGAGGGTTGACTCTGTGAAGCACATGGACTTGGACACTGTGTGCCAACAGGTAATGGTACTGGTCTAGATCTGGCTGTGAGCGTGTGGCTTTCTTTGGGCTCCTTTGCAAAATAAGCTCACCTGGCTTAAGGGCTGCTTTTACCTTGGGTCTGTCTCCCTGGGGAGCTTTGGCCACTGTGTTTTTTCAGGGAATCACCAAGTGAGCTGGGTCAGCTTGGGCTGTGGGGACAGTGCATGGTGGTTTCTCTGACGCTGCTGCTGGCTCGAAGGGCCAGGTAGGTTCTTGTGCATATCCTCCTGTGGTGCAGGAGGATGGAGATGGGAACAGATGATGCATTTAGAGGTGACTGCTGTGACTTCAGCACCCTTGGCCTCCAGTGCCATGCTTGGAGATGCCTGTACATACCCCACAGATTCGTGCTGCCTCGGGAATTGCAGGCCCATTGTGCAGAGGCCACACGTGTCACATGTGACAGTGGCAGTCCTTGTGCTGCCCAGCCCCTCTGGTGCAGTGGTTGCTCGTGTGACATCTCCAGCCTCATAAGCCGTTTCTCTGTTGCTGTGCAGGGCCATTTGCGTCTCTGCTGCTGTGGAGCCGCAGGGGACACTTCCCCTGGGTGGTGGCTGGCAGGGGTGGGGCTGGGCTGCGGGGCCAGTGCCACAGCACCTGCTCAGAGGTTCTCCAGTGCTGGCAGCAGCTGCAGGAACAGGCAGACAGGTGAGTCAATGCCATGGGCTCTTTTTCCCCGGGGGAAGGTTGTTCTGGGATGAGGCCGTGTCAGGTGGGTTTCCTTGTTGGTTCCTTGCCTGCCCTGGCACTAGGCTGGAGTGGCACTGGGCTCAGTAGGGATGTCCACAGCTGGTCTGAGTGGTGGCTGCCCTGGTTTGGAAGGTGAGAGGCACCAGCTGGCAGTGTCTTCCCCGTCACTCTGAGCGAACAGCCTTGGAGGTCTCTGCACAAGCTTTGGCCACTCCAGGTCCTGGGGGAATGGTGACTCAGCCTAGATGATAAAACAGGAGGGGAGTGTTACAGTTCTTGGAGAACTTGGCTTTGGAGCCTGTTTGGATTCAAATCTGCTGTTTCCTTAGAGAAACAGGTAAAGATTTGGAATGAAAGTAGAGAAAGTAGAATGGAGAGCCAGGCCACATCTTCGCTTGAAGCAGCATCAGCAAACTTGTGTGGTGGCAGGTGTCACTATGTCACCCTGCACCCTGCTCCCCCAGCTGCCTACAGGTCTGTGCTGCCTGCGAGGCCCAGGGAGGGTTGTTGCCACACCAACAGCACACGCAGCTCCCCAGGGCTCCCGTTCCCCGGCAGCGGCCTCAGTGAGTTTGGGGAGTCTCTCAGGAGGGAGTGACTGGGGCTGAGCCCTGGAGGTGGAGCTGTGCTGGGGTGTCTGCCCCGCACCTCGGGGGGCAGCTCTGACCGTGTCCTCCTGCCAGGTCCGGGTGCAGCCGCGGTGGATGACGATGGCCGGTCGCCGAGGGCTCGTCCCACCCGTTCAAGGTAACAGGGACTCTGGTGCAGCACCGAGAGTGTGTCCATCCCCCATCCTGGGTCTGTCCCTGCCCCAGCTGTTGGGGCTGTGCCAGAGGCCTCCCTGGGACAAGGGGTGGCCACTGGCCCCCTGGGGCTCTGGGAGGGTGGGGAGTATCCCTGCTCACCTGTTTCAAGGCTGCCTTGCTGCTGGGGAGGCTCTTTGGGCTGTAGAGCAGGCAGCAAATGTGGTGGTCTCAGCCATCCCCACTCCATTCCAGGCCTGCTGCTCTGCATCTTGGCTCTGCACATCCGTCTCCAGGACTCTCTTGCCCCAGCAGGTGAGCTCTGTACTCAAGGGAAATCTGTGGGCCTGTGGGAAATGGGCCAAAGGCAGTGTGGTGCAATGGGGACTTTGTGCCTCTCACCTCCAAGCTGTGTTCTGTAGGACAGAGCTGCACTGAGGAACCTTTCCTTGAGGTTTTGCCCCTGGAAAAGCCTGTTCTTCCCAGGCAGCATGGCTGGAAGGGGGAGAGAGGCTATTGTAACATCTGTCCATAGTGCTGTTGCAGGGGGTTGCTGGCTCTGACCTGGTTCTTGAGCTGCCCGATCAGTAGCTGCAAACAGCCTCTGTTTGGGACATCCTGTCACTGACTGCCATCCACCTCCCAGCCACAGCTGGACAGATGCTTCCCACAGGTCCATGCTGTGGCTCAGGATGGGACACTGGGCTTGCTGAGGGTGTTTTTCCTTGTTTCCTTCACCAAAGGGGAACTTTGTGTCTTTCAGAGCACAACACAGTTGCCAACAGCACCGTGGTGGCTGCCAAGAATGCCTTGTGGGTTGCTGCGGCCACCAAGAACGCCTCAGTGGTGACCACAGCTGTCAAGAACACCACCAAGGATGCCGTACTGGTGGCCACCAAGAATGCCAGAGCAGTGGCCACCAAGAATGCTGCAGTGGTGGCGGCCACCAAGAATGCCAGAGCAGTGGCCACCAAGAATGCCTCAGTGGTGACCACAGCTGTCAAGAACACCACCAAGGATGCCGCAGTGGTGGCCGCCACTAAGGATGCCGTACTGGTGGCCCCCAAGAATACCAGAGTGGTGGCCACCAAGAATGCTGCAGTGGTGGCCACCACCAAAGATGCTGCAGTGGTGGCCACCACCAAAGATGCTGCAGTGGTGGCCACCACCAAAGATGCTGCAGTGGTGGCCACCACCAAAGATGCTGCAGTGGTGGCCACCAAGAATGCTGCAGTGGTGGCTGCCACCAAGAATGCTGCAGTGGTGGCCACTGCCAGCAACACCTCAGTGGCTTCCACTGGCAATGCCTCAGTGGCCACCAACAGCTCTGTCAATGGTGCACAAGAGACAATGGTAAGGAAAGTACTGGAAAGAGGGGCATTTCTGGGCCATTGCAGCCCTACAGACGGTGTCTCTTGCCCAGCTGGTCTGTCGTGACAGCCAGAGTGCCATGGGAGCATCTCCTGGGGAGGAAGGGGAGCACTATGGGCAGATGGGGGTGGCCCCTCCGGACAGTGAGGCTGTGGTTGGGGACAGCCCGTGGTGCTGTGCAAGGAGGCTTTGCTACATGGTGACACCCTGGTGTGTTCTCCCTCCAGCTCACCTGCCAGAGCTTTCAGTGCTCCGGGGAGAGGTGTTACCAGGATGAAGCCCATTCCAACAGAACAGTCACCTGCCATAATGAGACTTACTGTGAGGTACGGCGATGCAGGGGGGCTGCAATAGGGAAACCTCTCCCTTTCTTTATCTCAGCAATCCACAGTGCTCTTTTAAGTCTGTCTCCATCTCCTGTTTCCCTTCTTTCTCTGGCAATCTGTCAGTTATTTCTGCTCCTTTGTAATGGCACCTCTTCACACTCATTTTATCCTTTGACTCTGCTGTTGCAGCTTTATCGTTTTTCCAGCACAAACTACACAGCCGGGTGCAGCAGCAGGTGTGGTGTGGGGCTGTGCAGGACCAACGGCAGTGAGAGCAGGCAGCAATGTGCCCTGGAGTGCTGTGCCACCCCGCTGTGCCTGCAGCTCAACGCCAGCGCCTACGGTAACAGCCGAGCTTTGCTCTGTGGCACAGGAGGGGCACGGGTGGGCAGAGCCCATTGCAGAGGGGCTGTGGCTACATCACCGTGTCTCTTCTGCCCTGGGGCTCCTCTGTCCTTGGAGCTGGGTGAGGGACAGAGTGCACTGGGGAATCTGTCCCTGTGTTGCTGTGGAGGGCCCTGTGTTGGCTGTGTGCTGGGTGCAGCCTCACAGGGCTCCTTGTGTGTCTGCAGGTGACCTGCCACCCACCACTGCTCCGCCCAGGACCACCAACACCACCCACCGACCTCCCCCCCAAAACGTAGGTACCACCTGGGCAGAGCCTGCTGCAGCTCCTGGGGCTCTCTGGGGGCTGTGGCTGCTGGGACAGCTGAGCTCCCACCTGAGCAGGAAACAGGGAAAGGTCCCTCCTACATCTGCTTTATGAGGTCAAAATCTGCCTCCAGAAGGGGAACAAATCCTAAACGGGCATTGGAAGTAAAGAGTCTGTAAGGAGCCCTGTCCATCAGGCCTTATCCCCAGCCCAGCATCAGCTCAGGCAGTTTGACTTGATTGCATGGCTGAGCCTTTCTGCAGCTGCAGGGAGAGCACAAGACCCACTGAACTCTGCAGCCCTTTCCTGAGTCTAGTGGAGGGGAAGGTGCTTATCTTTGCAGAGCCCTGTTTAAGAGGAAGGAAAAGGAGGCTTGAAACATGTTTGCTCCACTAGTGTTTCAGTAGTTTCCTTTGGTTTCAGATGGGCCACTGATAGTCTTTTTTCTCTGGATCTAAAATGCCTGATACAGCACAAATAATGAAGAACAGAGGGGGGTGGGAGAGGAGCCCTCAGGAGCGAAGGGCTGCCTGAAATGCAGTGAGAGTCTGATGGATATATGATGTCTCCCCTGGTCCTCTGTCGTAGGGGAAAGTGTGCACAGCATTCTCCTGTCACGGGGAGGGGTGTTTCAAAGGCAGGAAGACCATTGCTAGATGCATCTTGGGACAGGACTTCTGTGAGGTAAGGCCTGGGACTGCAGAGCAGGACAGCCCCAGATCTGCCATTGTGTTCCTGTAATGTGAGTACCAAAGGCTTGACATGACCCCTAGGCTAATGTGTCTCTCTTCCTTCCAGATGAAGAGGACGGGCTTGAATTACATGGCAGGATGTAGCAAAGCCTGCAAGGCTGCCAAACCAGCCTGTGCCAGTGGGATGAAGGCTGCCTGTTACCAGGAATGCTGCCCAGCCACCCCGAAAGCCAGCTGTCTGAAACTGGATGGCAAAATTCATGTCAATACCGCTGGGCAAGTGACGCTGGCACCACTCTTGAAGGTCATGGCATGTGGTGTGGTCCTTCTCCTGAATTACAGGGCCTTCACTTCCCTCCAGGGGTAGGCAGCAGTCGGGATGCTCCACAGCCTACCCTCCTGCAGCAGAGCTCCACAGCACTCAGTAGGATCCTGTTACTCTCTGACTTCAGCCAAGGCCACTATCAAACACTCTCTGTCACATTCCTGTTGTACTCAGGAAGCTACAGGAGGGATTCTGCCCTGCCCTGCCCAAATCCTGTAGGCCTGAGAGACCCGCAAACTAATTGTGGATCCTGAGAGCCATGCAGTGTGTGCCTCCGTGCTGCCGGAATGAGGGACCAGGAACGAGGTGTTAGGCCTCCTTAAAAATCAGAAAATTCTGCCTTGACTGAAGGCACAGGGGCTCCACTAGTCATTGACCTGCTTGTGGTGCAGCCTCCCTGGACCCCCTGTGACCTGTTTAGTTCTGAGCAGTTTAGTTCCAAATTGCCTCTTGCCTGGGTGGGTAAAATGGTAACTCCATGTTTTGTCTCCAAGTCCTAGGCAGGAAAATGGGATTACTCTAAAAGTGTTTCATGTTTTAGATGATCCTGTTTCACATCTGTGGTTTCCGTTGCTAAAGGCAGAGCCCAGATGTGAGCCTGTGACATGAATGCCCCCAGTGCTTCCCCAGCCTGTTCTTCCAGCACACAGAGCTGGTGCAGAGCTGGTGGGGTAGAATTCCCGGGAGTCAAGGTGCTCCCAGTTGTGCACACGTGCACGGTGCTGTCCCCTGCAACCGCTCTCCTCTGCTGCTGCTGGCTCCTTAGAGAAAAGATTGCAAAATATTAAAGTCTGTGTATCGGCCCTCTGGTCTGTGCTGCTGTTTTGAGTGTGGCTGAGCATGGTTTGACCTGTGGGAGGGCAGGAGGGCTGGGCTGGGCAGTTTGGGCCCTCGGGAGCCTTGTGTGCTCTCCCAGCAGGAAGGCTCTGCACTGCCAGCCCTCATAGAGCAGTGCCAGCCCTGACGGGCACTGCCAGCCCTGACGTGGTGCTGCCGCCCGAGCAGCGGTGGAAGCGGATGTGGGGCTGGATGGAAAATGCCTCTCTGTACCACAGCTGGCCCTTCCTACCTTACAGCTCCTGTTCTGGTGTGGCAAAACCACAGGGTGTGTTTTTAGTTTGTTTCAGGCCACAGTGCCAGTGTACCCATGGCAACTGAAAACAGTCTGAAAACTAGGGTTCTTCTATCTCAAAAACATCCCCCAGCACCCTATTTCTTGGAAGGTTTGGTGTTTACAGCAGCTATTTCAGACTGTTCTCTTGTCCATTATGGACAGCTGCAGAGCTGTCACTGATAAAGACCACTTGGATTTTCTCTCTCTGGACCTACATCCCTTATGTCTGTGCAAGGAGCTGATTTAGGCCAAGCTCTGTCTACAGTACAAAAGACTGGTGACATTTTACAGCATCTGCTCCCACACTCTGTACTAATTTATTTGCATAATAACACGGCAGCTTAGAAGTTGGCTCCTGTGCTGGGTTGTCTTGAAATTCAACAAAAAATAATTCAAGCTGCTACTTAAAAAAGGGCACCTCGGGATTTTCCTTGGAAATTAACTTTATCCACGTCTGCCAATCCCAGAGCTTCCTCCTCTCCCTCTCCCCGTCCTGCCGGGAGGGGCAGGCTCAGGCCGTGCCTGTCCCGCCGTTCGCATCCCCCGCTCCCGTCCGGCCGCGACCCTCCCGCCCCGTTATTTCCGGCGGCTCCGAGCCCCGCCCGCGGCCGGTCCCAGCGCGGAGCGATAACGGAGCGGCCCCGGCCCCGGCCGGGGGGAGTCCGGGGGCGCCGTGTCGTGTCGTGTCGCACCGTGTCGTGTCGTGTCGCACCGTGTC